GACTGTGTCAAATCTCACTATAATAATCTGTCCAATTTTGTGGCTGTACCTATGAGTTTCTGCTCCATTTTCTCACTTGGGAGACTATATATGCCTATGAAAATTCGGGTAATATTTTTTCAGGGATATCAGGGCTCAGCAGGGTCTCCTATTTCCTTATCCTATGATAACTTCTCCAGGAGTGGGCTGTCAACCTGTCTATCTCTCAGTTGTATTTTGGTCTAAAATAAGCAAATGCAATATATACTCAGGAATGCTAGAGAAAAGGAATCAGTTAGCAAAGAAAAAGATAATGATAGTGCCAAGTTTCCTGGAATCCTACTGAGAGACTGATTTAAGAAAGAAAACCAAAATCTTTGTGCTGTTTCCTTTCCTCTGAATTTGTTGATGAGCAATCTTTATTTCACCCCAGGTTTAGCTTTGCTTCCACTACCCAGCTTTTTTCTGTTAATACCTCACATATGGCATGAATAAGGTGTGAAAGGACAGTGCTGGCTCATATCCATGGACAGGATCTTACTTTATGCCTTTCGATTGCCGTTGTCCAAGTGAGGCTTACTTACCTCAGCCGCTGAAATCAGACAAGGGACGGCATCCTTCCCAACTCCAAAGCAAGCCTGTTAAATGTACTTTTGTAAGCAGTCGTAAAAAAAAAAAGTGAAAGAAACAAAAGTATCCTTCAACAGCTTCAGCTCTGCAGAGCTGCTGTGGTGAAAGGCTCCTTTCATAGCAGGAGAAAGAGCGTTCAGCAAAAGGAGAGGGTTTGCTGCTGCTGACAGAGGTTGTGCCCCATGCAAGCTCGCAGAGAGCCGTCCAGTCTCTCCCTCCCTCCCTCCCTCTGTCTTTTTTTTTTAAAAAAACATATGTGCTTTGTATGGACACTCTAATCAAACTCCAGGTGGGTTGTTTCAATCTGGGGATTTGTGCTGCTCAGGAGATAACAGTCCATTGTGCTAGCCTAGGTAGCAAGTGTGTTTGTGATAGCTAGAGCTGATACCGGGGGGTGTCCAGGTGGTCTTATTTAACAGGGGATATTAGCAATACTGCAATTGTCCAGGAAATCAGATAAAACTGCAGTCCAGGTGTTACCTTACACTGTGTTTGTGTAATGACATTGCCAACTGCTGACTGCTACCTACATTAAAATAGAGACCAAAGACTGCAGAATGGTGGTATTTTGTGGTACAAGATTGCTGTCATCCCCAAACTTCCCGGGGTGCACTGTTTAAAGTAGAAAATTTAATCTGAATATAAAATGGAACAATAGTGAGTGTGCACTCTTTGCTCACACTGAATACAGCTTTACTCTGGGGTTGGATTTCCTAAACCAAGGCATTTCCTCTAAATCATCACATATTTTCCTCCCTGCCCTACCACAGCGTGTTCTCAAATGAAAATGCTTTGGGAGGTGAGACAATTTTTAGAAATAAGCTGCCCAGGACAATTCAGTATTCTGCCAAAGATAATGAGAAGCGAGAATGAATTGTAAAGCTGAATGAACTCGAGAGAGAGAAGATGGTTTGGGAAGTGCTAACCTGGACTGTAATTTCAGGTGACACTGTACAGTTTACAGTCCTTGTTCTGGAACAATGCTGCCTGACACAGTGCTACACCAGGTCCAGGGAGAGATTTGCCACAAATTATCACTAAACGATCACATTATAATCAAGACAGAAGAAGTAGCTGCTCAGTTTGAGCAAGGGATGAGGTCCTCTGCTGTTTTTACACACACGCATTCCCTTTTTGGAGCAAGGTATTTAGTAGAAAACATAAATTCCAGGCTCAGAGGTGTGCGAGACTTTTGTCTAGACTTCAAATAGCGTGATCTGTCTCTGTAGGGCCATATTTCTCAATGTGATATTTTTCAGGATGGGATCTGCCACTTCTAGTTTGTCCCAGAGATTTCAACAATGTGGAAGCTTACGGCTCCTTGTAACTGTGGCAGATGAACCCCACGGCGCTGAGAGGCCGCTGTAGTTTCTTCGTAATTGTTTATATAGATAGGATCTAAACTTAGCTACAGAACATGGTGAAAAAAGCCCGGTTAGAAAGAGTGGGGACTCAAGAGCTTAGCCTCCAGCTATCTTAGAAGAGGCTGGCTCGTCACGGAGAGATCCCCAGCTGCACTTCCAGGCTGTAAATTAAACAAACAGTATTTCCTATACACCAGACCACAGGGATGGTAGAAAGAACAGTGTGGCCTTATTGCTGTTATTTCCTTTGGTTTCAATCTCTGTCCTCTGCCCCCCCACCTCCTTCTCAGGCTGCTGTTGCCCACTTTACCCGATTTGTTATTTATTACAATGGTTTAAAGAGAGGCAGGGGGAAAAATGCTCAGTGCAAATTATATTTTGAGCTGTTGTGCTTTGCCTCTTTGGCGGATAATAAATCTCTCTGGCAATGCTCCTCTGTATAGGATTTGTCATTAAATGCAATTAAACAAACCCTGCAGGTGTCCATGATCAGGCCTGCAGCAGCCCATTCACAACTGCAATGTTATTATCATCCTGACAACAAAACACCAGATATTTCCTGAGCTACTCTGATCGATGAGCTTGCCTGACTTGGAACTGGAGGGAGGAGAGAAGGGGGGAACAAAGTGGTTCAAATGCTCTTTAGACATATTGATGGAAAAGTTAAAAAGCTGCTCAGTAATCAGAGAGAAGGTGGAAAGAGAAAAAGGCAGAGGAACAGGAGGGCTGAAAGGAAAAAATGAGAGAAGTGTTTGGGAGCAAAAAGATAGAAATGAGGTGATATATCACATGGCATCCATCTACCCAATGATTTTATTAATGCACGAGACTAGAATTTAGGAGGCAAGCAAGGTATTTTAGGTATGATTCTTCTCATGTAAATTTAGTCTATTAACAGTTAGGCTTTCAGTGTTGTGAGTCATGTAGGCTCCCTTTGCAGTCGGTGCAAAAATTAATCTCACTCTAAGACACGACTTGACTGCTAGGTTCACTTGTTGTCCAGAGATTTCTGTCTGTCTCCATTAACTGTAGCTGAATGGTTGGATCAGATACCCGACTAATTGCAAATCCCACCCAGAACAGCCAAAGGAATTGGCGTTTGCTGAATGCATGTTCCTTTCTATCTTCATTCACAAGGAGGCATTTCCTGGCAGAGCTATCAGGAGAACATGCTACAGAGGCATTGCTAATAGTATTTGTAGGAAGCAGATGCAACAACATTTACACCAGAATTGTGTGCTCTGACAATCGGGGAGTGGGAAAAAAAAGTCCTGTGGTTTATTTCAGCAATCCCAGACAGCCTGCAGAATATGAAGGTCAGGGATTCACAGGGGACGAGCTGCCATTGAGTCCAGTGAGAGAGAAAAATTTGCAAACACCAGTCAGATTATTCTGCCTGAATCATTTGCTCAGCTCAGCCTCAGGGTGCTCTCAGGATGAACCTCTTTCCTCTTCTATTCTTACCCCCAGGAATCCTAGTTTAGTCCAGTTGATTGCTGGGGCACATACAGCATTGCAGGGACAAGGGATGGCTTATATTACTATAGCGCCTTTGCTAATGTGTAGTACCACAGAAAGCAAGCCATTTTTAGGTTGGATAAAGGGAGTGAAATGAGTAGGTTTCAGTAGTGCATGTGCATATGTGGTGTGTAAGGAATGATTATTTACTTCTACAAAAAAAAACCAAACCAAAACAAAGCAATTGTCACGGTCTTTGACTAAGTTTTTATAGCCTCATCTGAAATGCCCAGTAGGACAAACAGCATGAAATCCTGTTTACCGGCATCAGAGATGAAGTTGGAATTATGGCAGAAGGAGCCAGGATTTCTGCTATCAAGCCGTGGGGCTCAGGATGACAATTTTCCCAGACCATGCATTTAGGTCACTATGCAGTGCTGGTCTCTGGCTCCCTGGTTGCTAGGGCAGTCCAGATTTCTATACCAAAGAATGTCCTCTCTTTCTTACTCTTCTCCTCAAACACTGGAGGATTTCCCTCTATCACTTTGTATGTCCATCTTTCCACATTGTATTACCAGTTAATCTGCTGGTTTGTGCCATTAGCAAATCAATGTGCAATTACCTAGTGGCACAAGTCAACACTGGCCTACTGAAGCCAGCAGAAATGTCCTATTTCTGTAGTACCACAGAATTTGGCCCTTAAATCTGACTCAAAGTGTCAGTTCACTGGGCAGTGGTTTGCCAGTTGTGGTTCAGTGGCCAGTGGTGGACTGCAAGGGCATGGAAAAAATCCACAGCAACCAGTAGTATTTACAAATGAGTCCATTTTGCACGGCTTCACCGTGGGGTGATTCTGGGGGCGTTTGAGGTGGCACCGGGTCAGAACATCCTGGAGCCATGCATGTATGCAAAACCATCAGCTGTACTGGTAACACAGCATTGTACCTCTCTAAGTTCTTCCATTTCCTTCGGTTTCTGCCTAGACTCTGCTCTCAGAAACATCTGCCAAAATCTAGAAACATCTCTGATTTACCCCTCCCAGATGCTGTAGGATTTGCACTGGGGTGACAAAGCCAACACAAAGGGATGTGCTCTCTTCTAGGGAAAAAAGACAAGAACTGGCATGTCCCGGCTGCCAGTCTGAGGAGCCTGGTTGCTGTTAATGAGTGTCACTGGGACAGATCTTCAGCTGGTGTAAATGAGCACTAGCTGATTTCGAGTCCACAAGGACTTTAGTGGAACTATGTTGATTTACACCAGAAGAGCAGCTGGTCCAGGGCTCAGGCTGGCTGGGGAAAACCCCCTGGAGTTTCCATCAGTGGGTGTGAGAGTGGGGTAGAAGCCGGCTGCGTGTGTCAAGGGGTGCAGAAAGCAAATAAAGGGAAGAATAGGAAATGCACATCTTATTGGATTGACTTCTCCAACAAGCACTTTTTTTTTTTTTTTTTCCCCCCCTTCTTTCCACTTCCCTTCTTCCCCACCTCCAGCAGCTCCTCTCTCACAGGCTCCCTCTCGGTGCTGCTCATCTCCCTTTGTGCACCTCTTACCGCACTCTCCTCTCTAAACAGGTGCAGTTGCCACTCAATAGACTTTAATTACCACTTCAAGGGCTCTCACCAGGGTCTGTTGGGAGGGTGGAGATGAATCTTCCTGAGGATTATGCGTATGTCTGAGTTCTTCTTAGTCAGATGGCAATATTGCTGTCAGTCTGTATCCTTCGAGAGATTGTTCCTTCATGTTCTCTCTGCTTGTGTTAACAAAAAGCAAAAATGCTGAGGAAGGAAAAAAAAAAAAAAAAACAAAACAGCTATTAGCTAGATTAATTATCAGGACAGCAAATTGGTCTAGAGAAAAATATTATGGACAGGTTTTTTTTTAAAAAAAAAAAAACAGGTCTCTCAGCTGGGCTTCTAAAACATTATTTCTGCCTGCAAATAAGAGGCCAAATTTTCAGAAGTGGAGAGCTCAGCATCTCCAAAGATTTCTGTGGGAGACTGGGGTCTAAAAATACAAGTTGTTTTTAACCACTTTACCTTCTTTTTTGCTCTGTGCTCTTCCCATCACAGCTCGCTGGAGAAATGCACTCTTAATGCATTCTGCTGGTACCCCAGGGGATTCCTCCAGAGTGAACATGTCAGTTGATTTCTATCTTCAGCATAGTTTGCCTATGATGGAGAGTTATTCCCAATGTTTAACTAGTAACATAACATTATTTTTATTATTAAGATCCTCTTCAAAAGACAATCCCGGAGAATGCAGAGCAGAAGCTCATGTCTGTCGGATTTGCTTGAAATTGTTTGCACAGCATGTGAGCATGCACTTGTGTATAAATGGCGATACACACAGAAATGTGTATACATGCTTATACGCACCACTGAAGAAGATAGGAGCTGGAAATATAACAGTATATTTTAGGACAGGGAAGATTTCCAAATATTTAAAAAATAATTTTGCTTTTGCTCAACATTAACATGTTTAATTTTTTCATAAAATGAAAAGCAGAAAGGAGATTGTTTTCTAGCAAATTAAGCAACATTTTCTTCTGCCAAAGTTAAATTTGTTTTCCTAAACAAGCAATTCAGAAAATTGGGGAAATAGTGCAACCAAATCTGCATTTTTGCGTATGTGTTTTCCATGAAACATTTTGCCTAGCCCCAAAACAGCTGGGCAGGTGCGACATCTGGGCTTCTGTTTGGCACTTGCTTCTGTACTGGTCCCCTGCATGCACCAGCATCCATGCCAGAGGGCAATACAGCACCGTGCTCTGCCTTTACTGTCTGGGTGGGATCATCTGGACTGAGGTTCTTACGTGTAGTCATGTCTCTGCACCCAAACAGCATTCACCTCCCATCCAACGCAGTCTGCCTCTGTGCACTCCTGCCTGCTCTCAGCTCTGGGCTTTTGTTGGTACCTGCAGCACAAAGACAGAAGGGATGAAGGAAGGATAGGTGGACAACACTGATGGGAATATGCTGATATAAAAGCAGAATAATCATAATTCCACTTCTGTCCTAAAACAACTCGTTAGTCTCTGTCTGGGAGTGTTCTGTTCCTCCTTCCTTAGGCTCGGAGTGCAACTGTGACCTGATAAATCAACAAGGTGCGTGACACCAAGGGCTTGGTCTGGGACAATGCTGCCCAGTGGTACAGGGTCCATGATGGGAAAAGGAAGAGGCATTGTGGTGCGCCTACAGCAGATTCTCCCTGTGCATGCACAACATGTCTAGGCCAGTTTCTCTGGACTTTCTCCTCACTCAGGGGGATCCGTTCCCCTCTTCTTTCTGTACTTCTCCGCCAGGAATCCTGCAGTCCCTTCCTCTCCTATTCCCACTCTCCCCGGCCTCTGGAGATCTGCCAGCCCTCCTGACATTCCCACTCTCATTTCCCAGGTTGTGTTCTTCTACTTCTCACTGTAGCTCCTTTCAGCTTCCAGGATTTAAAAATCTTTCTTTCTTCATCATGTCTTTCCCCCGCCCCCCTCCTTCCTTTTCTTGTGCATTTTGCTTTCCAGGCCCATCTACCACATGTTCTTCTGTCATTTATGTGGGACTGGGATGAACATTGATCACAGCCGTCTCAAACCCATCTCTCTCTTTTCCCAAAGAACCAATGAAAATGTCACCCATGAGATAATCATCATGTTGCTCACGTCCCTTAATTGCTCTCAAAGTATACATCGAGGCTGCAGAGCCTCTTTGAAAGGCAGGTTCTGGCCTTTGGCACATTATTGACAGGCTGTTGATAGGCCCCTTTGTTGAGGAGCAATTTTGTCCCTTTTGCTGTACAATTTTTTGGTTGTTTTTTTTTTTTTTTTTTGGTTGTTTTTTTTTTTTTTTTTAAAAAAAAAAAGACAGCCCTTTCAGAGAGAGTAGTTTTTAAAAATAAGAGCTGAGCAGTGAATGAACAGGCACCAGGCTTATTCCTGAGAAGCAGTGGCATACATGTGAGATGAGAGCTACCAGCATGTTTCATGCAAGACTCCATACAAGAAATCAAAGCTATGATGACTGAAAGCTTCATCCTAGTTGCTTTTTATTCCTTCCCCTCTTAGACCTGGTAATTAGATGTTTACTTGCAGTGTATTACTAAACCATTAGATGTCTTGCGTGTTCAGTGCATGGTCCCTGGTAAATAAGTAAGAGAAAGTTGACACTCAGGCTGTGCAGCAACCCATTTGTATCTATTAGTGGTAATTATTTTGTTTATTTAATACCTGCTGATTAAAAGGGACTGAGATTTCCTTATCACAGCAGCCCTTCACCGTCTCAAAAGCTGCGCAGGTCTGGGCAATTGCTGGTGTGCCTGCCGAAAGGGAATATTGAGAGCAGAACAAAGCACACTTGCTCTCCCATTACTGTCATGGGCAGAGATCCTCCATTAGCAGTGCTGAGTCTATGACACATAGCTGAGCAATTCTCACGTCAGCTCCCGATTCCCGTAGTATACACACGCTTTAAAGGCACCTCTTTAATACAAATTTATTTTAACATGCTCCCATGTAAGCTGGGGTCCCACTGTGGTAGATGCTGCATGCACATCTCGAGTTAACCCTACTAAAGCCTTCAGCATGGCTGCACAAGCAAGCTCCAGTCTCCGTCTAAGTAGACTTTCAACACAATCCTTAGCAAAATCTCTAGGCTATATGCAACTAAAACCCAATCCTGACAGAAATGAAATTCTTTCCTCTCTGAAACAATGTCCCTTGGAATGATTCTGCTGTTAATGAACCCCGACTGAGCTGCTGTATTCTGGAGCCACTGGTGTGCATTTTAACAAGGAGCTCTCTATGTGTGGATGTGCATCAACATAGCCAGCCCCCATAATGGAAGTCTGTTCAGCATTGTAAGTCCCGCATTAGGCTGTGCCTGTAGGAACCCTGGGATGTTCCACTGAGACTGCCTGAAGGTAATCATCTCTCCCAGCCTCCTGGCTGTCCCTAACCAAGTGCTCCGCTTCCATCTATTCCAGGAAACGGCTCTGGAGATTATAAAGTTTAAACCCTAATGCATTCACTAGCAACAAGGGGGGGAAAGTGCCATTTGATTATAGATGAAAAGGAAAAATGCAAGGGGGTTTGGTATTCAGAAAAATCTCCAGCATGCTGTGATTTGGTTGTTGAACCCTGTAAGGGACTGGAAGCCCTTGAACTTCATTGTTTTCTCTGAGTCAGTTCAGCCAAAATCATAAGCAATACTTGAAAAACATAGTCCACCTCGAATTTATCTTAGAATCCTGCATGATTAAAATGATGCATCCCAGACTTCCCATCACAGAAACCTATTTCATACATTACATCCACTTAAATATGTATTTTGTGTGTGCATGTGTATCAAACACACGCATCACAGGGAGTAGAACACATGCATTATTTAGATCAGTGTACGTTACACAGAATGGAGTCCATTCTGTCAAAATTCAGAAAAAGGAGTTATTTCAAACCTGTTCCCTCATTGATAGGCCAGCAGAAAAATATAATACCTGTCTTCCAGAAAAAAAAAAAAAAAAAATCAGCTGATTTATTTTTGGAACTTGTGAACTCATTGGCATCTATTGTTCTACCTACCTGTGTTGCACCTTGTCGGGTTATGTAAAATCTGCACATACCTCTGTTGCCAAACACACCTTCATCAGCATGTAGTGAGAACTGTGCTAAAATAAAATGTTGGCTGAATTAGATGGAGTGGATTAGAAAGATGATAAAAGATAAGCTAGGAGAAAATAAGACGATAAATAGGTCTGGCAAGATAGATGGATAATCTTCCTCCCAGGCCAAACATGACAAGATAATAACCTTTTTCTTTTCTCTAGTTCCATTTGCTCTTGGATCTCCAGAGCTTTACAAATATCACTTAATTTGGTCTTCTGGTACTCCTGTGAAATGGGTATCACGATGTCCATTTTTAGAGAAAAGGGATCTGAGGCACATTACTTAGGAATAGCTTTAAGTTTAAGATTAGGATTGCAAAATTCAACCAAACTGTTCTCTTTTGTTGGTTTGGTTCTTAGCTATCGCTGTGCCTCGGGCAGTACAGTACGCTGAAGACAAACTGGTAAAATCAGCGAGCTACAGCCACCTTTTCACAACTCACCTCTGCCAGGCTGTTTGCACAGCCAAGCCAGAGCAGGAGGGAGCCTTGTCCTCTCCTGCAGAGCGTGTCCCTGTTCCTGTCACCAGCTGGGGACAGTGACTGTCGCGAGAGCCAGATGCAGCTGCTGTGAGGGCGCAGCTCTCCCCCTGCTCCCTTATCATGGTGTGATCTGGAGAGCAGGGGCTGCACCTGGCCATGGGATCAGGGTAACTTCCCTTCTGTCCCCTGTGCTTTCAGAATATAGATTATTTCTGAGCAAGTCTAAACAACCTATATGAGCAATTGATAAGCTCGTTAAACATTCAAGACTATGATGGTGCTTTCTGAATTCAGAGAAGGCTTGTCTGAACTGTCCTTTGCTCTCCTTGCTCAGGAGGAATTCTCACTGCTTCTGCTAGATCCACTGTAAAGTCTGAGTCTGCAGCCTGCAAAGCATTTGGCCCTTTTCTGGAGCTTTTGCCTTCCAGATGATGACATCTTAACCGAATGGGAGATCCTAAGTAAGGTTTTCTATTGCTTTGTGTCATTGATTTCTCCATGTATATTCATCTGGCAACACAGAGCAACGGAGTATTTGATTAGACAGAATTACAGACCACAACATTAATAACTTTGTGAGTTTAACTGAAAATATTTGCAATTGTTCTCCCTGGGAGCTGTGCAATTTTCCCCTTCTTCTTAAGAGAAACTCTCCTTTCTAGTTTAATGGCAGGGTGTATTGTCATTTTATGGTAGCACGTACTGACTATTGCTTCTGATTTGGGGGGCTTGAATCCATGCAATATTCATCTGGGCTGGAATCTTGTAGGTGGACTGTTCATCATGGCTCTAGATTTTCAAAAGAGGTTAACAGTTTTTAAAACCTTATATTTGTGTTTGAGACACTTTGAAAAGGGACCGATTATGAGAGAGGCAGAAGCTTAGCGGTCCCTGAAAATCTGGACTAATTGAAATATGTCATGTCGGGCACCTGAAAACACTAAATGCTTTGGAAAATCACAGGGTGGTGTTCTGTTTCTGAACACGACTTGGGAAGACTGTACACCCTTAAGTAACACAGGATAAAAAGATTTTGCATAACATTATGGAAACATCCTTTAATCCTCAGTTCAGCCAAGTGCTTAACTTTAGGCATGTATTTGATTCCTGTGGGAGTTAAGTGCTGAAGGTTCTGCCAGTGCATTTGTATTTTCCCAAAGTGGGGCCTCATATTGTGTAAGTTAGTGTGTAGGTTTGTTTTATGAAAATTTCTGAGTTGATCTCCAGATTAAAAGGCAAAATCCTCCCCTCCATCCTGAACTGTGATGCTGTGTAGGACACACAAGGCTTTGCTGGCTTTCTACATGTCCATGCATTCACATGCAGAGCCACAGACTGTACCATGAAATGTCTATTCTTTGCACTTCATAAAAACCCCAAGCCTCAGTCACAGACTCTGTTAAGTGCTGAACAAACACAGCACAAAATGTCCATGCCCCAAAGAGATTACAGTCTCATGCAGCCAGGCTGCTCATCCTGCTCACTGTGGTGATGTAGCTGTAGGGCTTGAATTAATGCAAGATTCTGCAGGGCTGCAAACATGCATCTGAAAAGCAAACAAGTAATCATGCAACCAAAACCCACCCAGCTCCTCCCCTCATCAATCAGCAACCCATCTGAAAAATCCTTGCTTGGCAACACTTGTTGGAGCCTCCCCTTTCAGCTTCGAGGCTGCTGAAGGCAAAATCTTGCTGCTGACCCTTAGCTGCACTACTACACGCACAACTGTGTGGTCTGTTTATAAACAAGGTAAAACTAAAAACTCCATACTCATTATACACCAGGAAGGGGGCCATATCTCACAATCAAAACTTGCAGGAGCCATCTGGTCTCTGTAAATAAGGGCTGCTGGAGTCAGGGTGTGAGTGTGTAATGATTGCAGAATGTGAATAGCCCTATTCATGCAAGTAGTACAACAGGGACCAAGCTAGTAGCGTGCTTAAGGCTCTGCTGAGTCAAACAAAAATGTGGCAGTAAAGGTTTTTTTTCCCTGTTGCAGAGTCAAATCTACAGCTACAGTACTGAGCTTCTTTGAAGGCATGGGTTGGATGCTTTCTGTGCAGACAGGAGTCAGGATAATGCATGCTCAGTCCTGATTTGTCAGCAGGGAACTATGGCTAGGATTTTCAAAGCTGCTTGGAGGGCAATTCCTTTTCATCTCAGTGAGTGCTGAAGACTCCAGATATCCTGGGCAGCCTCAGGATATTCAAACACAAATATCAATATCGAATATTGTATTAACTGTTCCTTAGCTATTTTTTTTTTCTTTTGCTATTTCATCCCTAGGCTTAAATTTAGGAAATTGTATTAAAGTAATATCCCAGCATCTATTTTACTAGGGTCACAATTTACAAAGATATTTCAGCATCTAAGTATAGATCATTTTAATAGAATTTACCAATTAATTTGGAACCCCACTCCTACTTATTTTCAGGTGAGGAGTATGCTGACTTGTTTTACAAATCCCACCAGGACACTAACGTTTGTTCTACACTCGTTCAGTTTTAAAGAGGTGTTAAAAAATGATGCACTTTGAGGCTGCACAACGATCAGAGCAGCCTTTGAGGGGCGGCTTGCCTATACAGAATGTCTACATCAATTTTATCATCTGCTTTTCATCTCTTCTGTGCTTGGGGTCCTTATCAAGACTTTAGAGTAGTTCCACGGGAGGTTTATTTCGTTTGCATTCCTAGTAATGGATTGCTCTGGAGGGGTCTGAATTTAGTGTCTTAACGGAGACAACTCCCATTGATGTCAATGAGCAGAAAAGCTGAATTCTTTGCTCAGAGTTGTTCCTTAAGATCTCATTCTGGCCCTGACTCAGTTGCATACCTAAATCCTGCTGAAGTGTTTGCTGAACTGGGGCTGGATGCAGGTGCTTAAATTGAAGTGTTGTGCTTAAAATGCCTGGCTGAGCCAGACCCCCTGCCTCCTGTTGTCCTGCGGAGAGAATCGGGTTAGGTAGGACCATGCCGGTGTCGCAGTGCAGTGGTGGACCATGGCGCACGCAGACACACACTCATTGAGTGCGCATGAATGCAGGTGTTTGAACGAGGCTGAATGCAAAATTGCATGTGAATGCAGGTGTCTGGAGCAGGCACAGTGCCTAGGTCTGCATGCCAAGTTCAGGTGTCTGGGGCTGAACAAATCTCTGCCAAAACCAGAAGAACCTCGACATGGTTATCCAAGCTCGAAAGCTGTTGCAGATCTTGCATCTGAAATCCACTCTCTTTTTCCTGCTGAGATTCCCAAGCACCTCCCAGTCTCCCAGCTACTCACAGCCTAAAACCCTACCAGATGCCATGATTGCAGTGGAAAAGCAGCTCATTACTGGAGTGGCAGGCGACGCACAGACAAATATTTGTACAAGGCATACAGAGCCCAGAGACTGGAACACATTGTCTCTCTGATGGGAAGAGGAAAGGGGAAGGAGGATCTTGCCTTTAGCAAAATTAAATAACAGAAATCTATACACTGTTTATTTCTAGCAAAACTTAAAATGTTTCCTTCTGGCAGGCAATGTGGTAACCTCCTGCCAGATTGATTTCCAGTTTACACATTTTGCTAAATACTTTAAGGGTCAGGAATTAAACTGAATTAAGTTTGGATCTTACCCTGAATCCCCTGTTCTTCAGAGACCTCTGTGTTAGGATTTCTCAGAAAAGAGACAGGATTGTATCCTTCTATGAGATGCATTTGTTTTGAGATCTACAGAAGATTGCCAGTAAAAAAAAAAGGTGACAAAAAATGCCCTAAACGAAATGTGACTTTGATTAAGCAATACATTCTGCAGAATATAAAATTTAGTTAGCTTTGAGGATATGATATCATCTGTCCTAATATTTTTTTTATATTGAATATGAAATCAGATTAGGCAATTTCCCAGAATGTGGAGATAAACCCATAAAAGCAGGAATAGGTATTTGGTGCAATATAATTTTCTGGCTTCTCCTCAAGTTCTTTTGCATGCTTGGGTTGGGGCAGGAGATAAAGAACACGATTTCTTGCCCTTATTTTACAGCTGAACTTCAAGGGGAAAAGACCTTATATTGATGTTGTAAGAGGCAAGACACGACAAAAACGGAACTTCAGCATTATGTTGCACTGAAGAAAGATCACAAACTGAGTCACTGTGTGGACACAGAACTGATGGAA